CCCATCTAATTTTCAGCATTTGCATTTATTATTTTTTCAAAATCTAATTTCTTCTAATCCCAAAGTAACTTTTTAGTACAAGGATTTAGCTGTTCATATAAAGATGGAAGAAAAATGGTAAACAGTGAGGAGTTCTGTCCCTTGTGTGCTGTTTTAAAAAAACAAGCCTTGAGCTCTTCAGTATGAAAGCTCTTCACAGAATCCTTTTGTTCAAAGTCCTCACTTTGGTGCCCCGGAGTGAAGCTTCTGAGTACAATACGCTCCCCTCCTCCGTTGTCTACCATCCTCCGGATATTCAAAACATACTCTCTCCAAGAATCTGTAATGTTTCCAACAGGAGCCATTTTTACGCCAGCCAAGGAGCCTTGCGTTTGCTTAAAGCGCTCAACCATGTGCAACTGAACAATCCGCTGGTTTGAATTCATAGATGAGCCGGGCCAGTTTAAAGGAGAACTATGAGGTGAGTGCTTTTCACTCACCTCATAGTTCTAGCCGACCTGTGACAATGAAACTGTCACAGGTCAGCTCAGTAGATCGGGAGGTGAGCGAACACATACCGGGTTCGCTCACCTCTCGATCCTGTCACGGCTCTCTGCCGTGAGAGGGGAGGGGCTGGATTCCCCCCTCCGATCCTCCAGCGCTGACTGGCGGAACGGACGGGGGAGGGGGCGGGTACAGCTGACTCTGCCTCTAGATAGGCAGAGCCAGCTGTCAGTCACGCAGCTGGTCGGATCCAGACATAATTGTCGGGATCCGCTTCAGCTGCGGCGTCTTAGTATACCGCGAGCAGCAGCAGGGTGACTGACGGGAGGACGCTAGTTTGTGTCCTCCCGTTACCCTAAGGAGAACTATGTGGAAAAGCCTTAACCCCATAGTTCTCCTTTAAGGACCTGTCAAACCACACTAGACCTAGCTATCGTAAAAGAGCATTCATGCTAGCTAGGGCCAGCGTGGTTTTACAGGTCTGGGGGGTGGTTGATGTGACACACTAACTTTTTTAAGGGTATTTCTATATGGAAATTCTGTAAGTTTTACCCCAGTCCCAAAAACCATATCCATCTATCCACCATATTCTGAATTGAGAAAGCTGGTTGGATGTCCAGTGAAACATCTTCAATAAAAACACAGCAAGTCCAGTTGCCTTGACTTATTTTTTACAGACATATCCATCTAGAAGTTTGTAAATGTACTTACTGAAGATGTACTTACTCAGCGCACTAACACAATTTCACTCAGCATTGTGATGATGCCCTTCCTTGTGTTACCAAGGAAGGGCATATGGGCAGTATGTATTCCTATTACGATGCTGATGTTTGATGGGGGTCTCTGTGGTCCCCTGGGTGCTGCCTACCTGGGTATTGCCTACCTGGGTGTTGCTTACCTGGATATTGTTTATCTGATTCTTTTTCGTAATTAATAGTTGCCACATGTAGTCTCTTCTTTTTCTTTCTTCTCCTTTATTTTTTTTTGGCACGCTCCGGTGTCCTCCTGGCATCTAGGGGGGGCTGTATGCATGGGGGCCCGGGGGGAGGATGAGGGACTCTGCGGTTTAGTCCGTGTTATGGGTACCTTGGCTCCTGCTTTCTACATAGGACCTCTTGTGTAGTTCTTTAGCCTTTACTTCATTTAGAGCAACACACCTGTTGTTACTACTCTGGGGGAGCAGTGACCTCGGCTCATAGTGTATCTTCTATTTATGCTGTGCTTTTGTTATTTTATTATTCCGATGTTGTTACTACCTCTTCATATATTGGGACATTAGAGAGTGTTCCTCATTTCATATTTGTTATTTGTTGTCTGGATTGTGATTGTGAATTGTTTTTTATTTTCTTTATATAATGAAATGTGTAATACTGTATTTAAATTAAAAAAATATGTATAATGTAACCCCCCCCCAATGCTGATGTTATTAGCAGCAGGGTGACTGACGGGAGGACGCTAGTTTGTGTCCTCCCGTTACCCTAAGGAGAACTATGTGGAAAAGCCTTAACCCCATAGTTCTCCTTTAAGGACCTGTCAAACCACACTAGACCTAGCTATCGTAAAAGAGCATTCATGCTAGCTAGGGCCAGCGTGGTTTTACAGGTCTGGGGGGTGGTTGATGTGACACACTAACTTTTTTAAGGGTATTTCTATATGGAAATTCTGTAAGTTTTACCCCAGTCCCAAAAACCATATCCATCTATCCACCATATTCTGAATTGAGAAAGCTGGTTGGATGTCCAGTGAAACATCTTCAATAAAAACACAGCAAGTCCAGTTGCCTTGACTTATTTTTTACAGACATATCCATCTAGAAGTTTGTAAATGTACTTACTGAAGATGTACTTACTCAGCGCACTAACACAATTTCACTCAGCATTGTGATGATGCCCTTCCTTGTGTTACCAAGGAAGGGCATATGGGCAGTATGTATTCCTATTACGATGCTGATGTTTGATGGGGGTCTCTGTGGTCCCCTGGGTGCTGCCTACCTGGGTATTGCCTACCTGGGTGTTGCTTACCTGGATATTGTTTATCTGATTCTTTTTCGTAATTAATAGTTGCCACATGTAGTCTCTTCTTTTTCTTTCTTCTCCTTTATTTTTTTTTGGCACGCTCCGGTGTCCTCCTGGCATCTAGGGGGGGCTGTATGCATGGGGGCCCGGGGGGAGGATGAGGGACTCTGCGGTTTAGTCCGTGTTATGGGTACCTTGGCTCCTGCTTTCTACATAGGACCTCTTGTGTAGTTCTTTAGCCTTTACTTCATTTAGAGCAACACACCTGTTGTTACTACTCTGGGGGAGCAGTGACCTCGGCTCATAGTGTATCTTCTATTTATGCTGTGCTTTTGTTATTTTATTATTCCGATGTTGTTACTACCTCTTCATATATTGGGACATTAGAGAGTGTTCCTCATTTCATATTTGTTATTTGTTGTCTGGATTGTGATTGTGAATTGTTTTTTATTTTCTTTATATAATGAAATGTGTAATACTGTATTTAAATTAAAAAAATATGTATAATGTAACCCCCCCCCAATGCTGATGTTATAACGGGATGGCATATGCTGGGACTTTAAAACTCTTTTAACTTTATTTTTTGGATAAAGGAAACAAAAAGACAGCGCCTTCTCCTAGTGTATTACGCTCTAGTAATATATGTAAGCACAAAGAGAACATACAAACTCTGTACAGACAGTGTCCTGGCTGGGTTTTAAACCTTGGGCCTCAAAGCTGCAAGGCAGAAGTGCTAACCACTAAGCCCTGGGCTTAACCATCAGCATCATTATTATTCTTATTATCATAGGCAGTAACATTTACACAGTGCTTTACATACAATAAATTCCAAATATGTATGTGATGTACATGATCATTAAAGCTCACCACACACGTTACAATCTGACTGTACAATCACCTTTATGACTGCCACTAATATGTAGTATAAGCAGTTACCTGATTGGATACAAATTGAATAAATTGGGTAGGTCCTCGTATTACACAGATTTGGGAAATGTAAAGTTGCTATTTTTTTCTCTTATAATGATGATACTAACAAATAAAGGTAAACTCATCAGAAGTCATTATTGCTGTGTTTGTGTTTCTTGCTGGTGACAATGCTCAACTACCAGATTGTGCAAAGATTCTTCTGCCACCTAGTGTTAGTGGGAAGTATTGTAACAGAATAACAAAATGGTCAATTCTTCTTTGTGGTAATTTAAAGCAAAGGCACAATAACATACAATAGCATCATATATACTTTAAAGCGGAAGTAAACTGCTTTAAATGGTTATTTTTGCGCTAATGTGCAACCATGTATTAATTACTTACCTTAAACGTGTGCCCTTCTCCACTGCTTTCAGATCGATCTTCAGTTCTTAGAGCTGTCTTAGATATAGCGTGGATGTGCTGAGTGTGTACGTTATATGGCACATGCATCAAATAGTGTACACAGAAAATAAAAAAATCACTGGGGGAAAGAGCAAGAATTCCTACATTTCAGCATGTTTTTATTCTTTAATTAAATTATGCTTGAAAGTGACATTATAGTCAGGAGTTAACCTTTTTATCCCATACTTCTCTTTAGGGTCACAGGAGGACATATACTAACATCCTTCCGTGACCCAAAATTCAGTATATAGCGGGTTATTACCCACTATGTGCTTAGAGCGCCGCAGCCGGGACGGATCCCGACAATACTGTCGAGATCAACACTGCTGGCTGATTGACAGTGGGCTCTGCCTATCTAGAGGCAGAGCCCGCTGTGTCCGTCCCTCTAGTCCTAGTCAGCGCTGCAAGATTGGAAGGGGGGGTGGATCCCTGCGGGGAGCAGTGACTGTCAATCACCGCTCTCTGCAGGGAGATGATCAGGAAGTGAGCGAGTGGCAGTATGTTTTCGCTCAGTTCTCGATCAATGGAGCCAACATGTGACAGTTTCATTGTCACAAGTCGGCTCTAACTATGCGGATGAGTGTAATTCACTCACCCCATAGTTCTGCTTTAAGCTTAAAAATGCATTCATGTACCCTAACTATTAAATAAAATGTATCCTTTTTGTGTATCATTTGGCTGTAGAACCTCAAATCATCTCTGAATTAGTGCTGACACTGACTACAATCTACAATAGAATACAATCTCAATACAAATAAGTAAAGTAAACATGAGATTGTAGTCCATCACAGGGAGCGAGCTTGGAGCGGTGACTACTTTACAACACACACAGGGACCATGGGGAACAAAAGTAGTCACCCTCCAGAAGGAAGGACAGTGTCGCCACTAATTCAGAGATGATGTGAGGATCTACAGCCAAGTGATACACAAATAAGATACATTTTTGTTAATAGTTAGGGCACGTGAATGCATTTTTAAGATTTAACTGTGTTTAATGTGACTTTAAACGTCATCATCAGCCAACTTCTAAAAAATGATGATGAAAGAAAATTGGAAATGTCATCCTTACCTCTCATTCTACATTATGCATCCATTTAATAAAATGCCAATGTTTCTGTAGTGTGTGTACGAGCTTTACACTTTTCATATTCTCCAGATTGGCCTACATGTTCCAGGTCGGTGGCTCAGAAAGTTATATGGCCGGTGGGCTTATTGTAGCAGCCAGGCTGGTAGAATTTTCTGAAAGAAAATAGCAACGGTATATTTCTCTCCGGACAAGTTTACTTGAAGGGGGATCTGTTGCAAGTGTATGTGCACACCTGGTCATCACACTAAGCGACACTCACTTCGAGCGGATTTCCACGCGGCGGGATAGCGCGACTGTTCCGGTGACGTTCCAGCGACCTTCACCGTCGGGCTGCATTCAAAAATAGAAAAATCGTGCGACATCCGCGGGGGAAAAAGGGTCCTGCGCAAGTGACAGCGACGAGCAACGGGCGACATGGAGCTGTGCATTAGAACAGATCCATTGAATATCACTGGCCGGCGACTTCTCGCAATATCGCGCGGCAAAAATGGGCCAAATCGCGGGATTTACCGCTCAGTGTGAATGGGGCCTTATATGAGCTCGCTGGACATCCCATTCCAAAATCCATGGACATTTATATGGGGTTGCCCCCCCCCCCCCATCTTAATCTCTAACAGCCTCCACGTATCTGGGAAGGCTTCCTAGAAGATTTATAGGGTGTATGTATAGGAAACTCTACCCGAAAAAAGCTCTAGATGCCAGATGCCCCAGCACCATGCTGTAGAATCTTCTTGCGGAATTGGGAGCTTTCCTAGGATCTCGCCAGAAGACCCGTCACCCTCGCTTTTTTAATGGATGTTTTTTTAATAGATAATTGCTTAAGTTGATTATAATTAAATTGTATTAATTTTATTATATTTAAATTAGATTGCTTTAAATACTACCTCAAATTATGTATTTTCTGCTATTCCCCGGAGATCTCTCTTTACTTCGTGTCCTGTAGACGCAAAAAAAAAGAAGTAAGAGGAAATCTCCTCTTACATAGTTGTCACTTAAACAAGTGTCCCCATTGGAAGATTTCCTTTTATTCCCATTCCGGTGACAATTAAAGGAGAACTATGGGGTCAGTGTTTTTCCCCATAGTTCTCCTTAGGGAACCGGTAGGACACAAACTAGCGTCCTCCCGTTACCCTAAGCTCAGTATACCGCGAGCTACAGCTCGCGGTATACTGAGACGCCACAGCCGGAGCGGATCCCGACGTAGATGACGGGATCCGCCCAGCTGCGTGAGTGACAGCTGGCTCTGCCTATCTAGAGGCAGAGCCAGCTGTACCCGCCCCCTCCCCCGTCCGTTCCGCCAGTCAGCGCTGGCAGATCAGAGCGGGGAGGGGGGAATCCAGCCCCTCCCCTGTCACGGCAGAGAGCTGTGACAGGATCGAGAGACGAGCGAACCCGGTATTTGTTCGCTCACCTCCCGATCTACTGAGCCGACCTGTGACAGTCTCATTGTCACAGGTTGGCTAGAACTATGAGGTGAGTGAAAAGCACTCCCCTCATAGTTCTCCTTTAAAGATTTTGGATGTTTCTTAGGGAGGGTGAATCTGCCCAGCAGGGATATACACAGCAATAAAAACCGGGCTTCTAACCCATCTCCACTAAAAAAAAAAATGAAGCCCATCTCTGGGCAAGCAAAAAACTTTCACTTGCAGTGGGGCTACTTAAGTGTTCCGTACGTCTAGTGGACATTATTACAGCTGTTTTACTTACCTGATCCTGGGCCCTACTGGCTCCTCCCAGACCGCTTAACCAGGGCCTGCAGCCTCTTCTCCTCTTTGCTCTGGTGGTCTAAGGACTACAGACATCATCACGTCTTATGCAGGTCCATTGACCTGCATTAGACGTAAGGACGCTGAAGGACATACTAACATCCGGAGCGAAGGGGGTGAAGAAGTGAGCGCTGCCCACCACAGGAGATGGGATCAGGTAAGTAAAACAGTTTTATTTGAGTCCCCTAGAAAAAAGAGCACTTAACCCTTGCAGTGTGGGAGTAGCCCCACTGCAAGGGTAAGTTTTTTCTTTGCCTGGCAATGGGCATTAAGTAGACCTTACATTTTGATACAGGGTCTGTTTTAAAAAAAGGAATAAATATTTCCTAAATATACATTTCACACACAAACATGTGACCGATATTATTATCTTGGTATGTATTGGATGTTGTTGCTTTACAATTTTTGCATACAAGAGTGCACGGTTCCTTACATAGTAGATGGAAACATTTGGGAGTTCTAGTGGTAGTACTTCTAGTACAATATTCCTATAATTACCTCTAGGGGGCACCAGTGCTCTTGTTTTATGAAAGTCTCTCAGCTTTATCACTGAGCGGCAGATTTAATCAATGCAACAAAACAATATTCACTGAACCAAATCATTGTTGCGTTTGGATACTTTTTGTTTGGCAGCACTGAATGTATAAGAGGGAAAAATGTGCATCGAAAGAACCGATATATCTGGAATATACTGGGTGTTATATTGCTAAGATTGAACAGGAGGGCTTACAATACCGACGCTTAAGTGGAGAGTTAGGCTGGGTTCACACCTAGGCGTATCGAATATGCGTGTTTGTCGCGCGTTCGTCGCGGGAATCGCTGTAAAAAAACCGTGCGACAAACACGCGTTTCAGAGGGATACTTGGCTGTATCCCAATGGAAACGAGCGACAAAAACGCCCCAAATAAGCTCCTGTACTTCTTTGGGCGTAGGGCGTTTTGTCGCGCGTTCATACGGCCTGTAATACGCCCAGGTGTGAACCATACCCATAGGAAATAATGGGATTTCGGTGTTTGAGCGTTTTGCAGAGCGTAGGGACGCGCTACAAAACGCCCAGGTGTGAACCGGGCGAGTGCTTTCACACGGGTATTCCGAACAGGTCTGCCTGTCAGTTCTTCAGGTCAGGTTTTTCTGATAAGAACCCCAATGTTAGTATAAGGGCAGCAAGATATAGACAGAGTTCCATTTTGGCTGACCTGATTGTGCCGGTTTGGGCATTTACATCTGACTTCTCATAGACCAGGGTTGGGCAAACTCCGGCCCTCCAGCTGTTGTGGAACTACAAATCCCATGAGGCATTGCAAGATTCGCACAGGGATGGCCACAGAGACGGATGCATGATTGGATTTGTTGTGTCACCACCGCTAGAGGGCTGCAGTTTGACCACCCTTGCCATAGACCAACATGGGTCAGGCAATTTCAGTTATGTCCTCCATTGCAAGATGGAGGGAAAAGCTGGATGGCCATGGATGTTGCCCTGTGAAAGGGTCCTAACATTCACTCTTGAGCGTCGGCGTCTTTGGTCATTGTTCACACTTTTTTCTGCACATTTGTACATGCATTATGTGCGTGTTTTCAGGGCAGGCTCACACCATTTTCTGGACCAGATCTGCAATGCACTGCATTGCTTTTTTGAGGCGTTCAATGTCAGGTCAGTTTTGTATGGAGTTACACTTTTACAGCCCATTCAAACTAGACTGCCGGAGAAAATGCTCTGTAATTGCAAGGGGGGCTGGTGTGTTGCAGGGACCCTGGCAGTGTGTGGTGTATTGCACAATGCTGGAGCTGCCACTGTTCACATTATTTTTCTTTTAACTTTATTGGTAGTGGACAATGTGTACACTCCATTCAGGTTCCCACACAGCAGCGTGGTACGCTGCATTGCTATGGGTGAACTTTGGTGGTATCCAGTGCACTGCGGAAAAATGCCCCGGCCGCTGCAGCCAGGAGGAGAGAGAGGGAGCGCTGTCAGGTGTGATCAGAGCCGCCTCTCTGAGCAGTGTAAGCGTGTGGGGGTATACGTGCATGCAGAGCCGAATTTGCCAGGGAGAAGAGGAGCGGCAGGTAAGTTCCCGTCCCCAGTCCCCATCAGGAAGTTCACACCCGCTCTCCCCCGCAAATGTCCAATGTTTTTATTTGGTTATTTTCTTAGCCTTATTAAAGAACAATTGTTACAATACTTGTTTACAATATTTGCAATCATTAATGTGATGTCTCTCCTTTCCAACTTTTCCTACAACACCATTTCTCTATGTGCGCCCGTTCAGCATTGAGGTCATCGCAAGCACTGGTGGATCGGAGCAGGGAGGGGGGATTTCAGCCCCTCCCCTGTCACGGCAGAGAGCCGTGACAGGATCAAGAGGTGAGCGAACGCCGGTGTATGTTCGCTCACCTCCCGATCTACTGAGCCGACCTGTGACAGTCTCATTGTCACAGGTCGGCTAGAACTATGAGGTGAGTGGAAAGCACTCATCTCATAGTTCTCCTTTAAAGTAGAAAATCCTTTTACTGGGTCCAGTGCCCATCACACCCGTGTTGTGGTATGAACAGGACACATAGAAAACAATTGTTCTCTATGTGCCCTGTGCAGAAAAATGCTGCTCACCGCTGTAGTGTGAGCTGATTTATGTCTATGCGTTACCACAACACGCAGTATTGCACGCTACATGTGTTGATGCTTTGCAGTGCCAGTGCATAGCGCACCAAGGCAGAGGTGGGCAACTCCGGCCCTCCAGCTGTGCTTTACCTACAAATCCCAACATGCCTCTGGGAGTCATGCCTGTAACTGACAGTCTTGCAATGCCTCATGGGACTTGTAGTTCCACCAAAGTTGGAGAGCCGGAGATGTCCAATAAGGCAACACTCATGGTCTGCCATGTGCTGCAACAAATCATAGTGCATTGCGGCAAAAACTTTGCAACATTTCCGTCCGATTTTAATTTGCTGCCTTAATGCATAACGCACGTGACACAGATTGACGTGCACTGACGCAGCGCACATCTGTAAACGGGCCCTACGGTGAAGCCCCCAGGTCCTCCGCCGCCCGCGAGAAGCCATCTCCAGGTCAATGCGCTATTCGCGTGGTGGAGCCGTACATATTTCTACAATTATTCCAAACGACAAAAGGTAAGCTAAAAAAACAGCCTCTGGCACAAACCTGAAAAAAAATGCAAAGGGAAAAAAAAAAAAGTCTAGGTGAAGCCACCGCGTCTCTATTTACCTCACTGGGACAGAGGAAGTACTGTTTACCATGTGAGAATATTTGTGCAGAAGAAGCAGGGGGGGAGGAGTTTTCCCATGCTTTTTTATTATTATTTTTGCTCTCTCCCCCGCCCTTTGTGGTTTTTCTTTCCAGGCTGGGCTGGGAGCCGGCTGCCTGTGCACGGTGCAGAAAGCCAGCAGCACTTTGGCACGTGCTCCCGGGTGATCCAGAGTACAGACAGGAGCGGGCGG